TGAACAATACACTTAAAATATATATGTCAAACTAAAATACAAGACCATAGTAAATAAAAAATTGATCAGCAAGTAATAACTAAAAATTTGCAAAAAAAAAAAAATTGTTTATAGTTAAAACACCAGAAGATAGGTAAATTTATTCTGTTTAATTTTATAGAAAGGAACCTATCATTAGTTTTATAATTCAATATCCTCTTCCGGCAGGTACGACTATGTAAGTATATAGTGCTTGCCGTTGCGACAATTTCCTGTGTAATACTGGTTATAATTTATACTTGTATGTAGTTTGTAGATGCTCTTATTTAATTTAATAATAATTAATTATGTACTTATTAAACACGTATATCCTACTTGAACTGTTAGGTTTATTTTTTTGCGTCCTATTTAGACACTTTTTTATTTTTAAATTTAGCTAGTTTTTTGCAAAAAAAACTAGCTAAATTTAAAAATAAAAAAATTTTTTTAGGTTTTTGTAATTTGTAACCAATATTTATTTGAAAAAAGTAGGTAAAACACTTTTTTAAAAGATTGCTCATGATTTTATTGTAATTATAGAATGAAATAAATAAATAATTTAAAATACATTTCTTATAAACTGATTTGAGCACTTACACATATGACAGTTTTTTATTATTATTATATCAGCCATAAAGTGGCCTCTCTCATAAGGGGGGTTTTGCTAGTTGTTGCCACATGGCACATGGCAACATTGGCGGTGTTTTAAATGGGATGCTGCTGCTGTAAAAACTAATTAATAGTTTATAATGGCCAAATGTCATCTGTTCAAAAGAACAGAACTTATTTAATCAAAACTTCTATAAACAATTTTGACCGGATGGGTGTGTGACACATAATTATACCATTTTGTATGTAAAAGTTGTTACAACCACAAGATCGCGTCATGACTGTATTTATTGTTAGTAGCAGGAAGTACCGCTGCATACTAAGTAGATATGACAATAGGCCATATTTTCTTAGTGTTGCATTTTCGCAGCCGTTCTTGTCTGATATTTACATAAACAAGAGTAACTGCGGCTATATTTTATACTGCCTAACTGTTACAGTACTTAATTTAACTAATTAAAGTCCATAAGGAAGACTTAGGCGCAGGATATTTTATGTGTACTCGTATATAATCTAAATATGTTGTGTTTATAATCAAAGTTTGTATGTTGTAGAGATTTCAATTAGATATATTTAAGTATTATATAAGTTACTAGTGATTTATAATACAGGTATTCTTATATCTATCTCAAGCACCAGTCCCCTCACAATTATATTTATAATTTGATTACTTTAACATAAGCATGTCTCATTGTATTTCATTGTGATGAATTGTTAAGAGCAAATAAGTAGATTATTATTATTATCAATACTAGCTTACTCGGCAAACATTGTTCTGCCATATACATATTTTTTTTCTGTATAGTGAAAACCCAAATCACCTGGTGATATAAAATATACTTTACGACCTATTCTCATACTTACCAAATATACAATATATATATATATATATATATATATATATATATATATATATATATATATATATATATATATATATATATATATATATATATATATATATATATATATATATATATATAAATTGTTGCCTCAGTATCTTGCTTTTATATTATTTAGTTTGTGTACATATCGCTAATGTTTATAATTTGTATTATTCCTTGAAAGGAACAATAAAGAGTTTTCATTCATTCATCTGTCATTGACCAGAATTGCGTAAATTTATACGAATTAAAAAAAAATCCTTTTAGAAGTCGTTATAATAATTAAGGCGCTAATTAATATTATCGTTAAATATTTTAAATATTAAGTACTTACTTCTTTGGTATATATACTTATTATGATCTGGGCAGACTAGAGATAAGTCTAAGCTTAAATTTTAGTCCGACTTCAATCGTGGCATCCAGTTATTATGATATAAAAACTAAATTAATGAACCAATTTTGATAAAATTTCTATATATTTATATTTAATAATCTAAAAGTATATTCTTTCAGATAAAAATAATATTCCAATTAAGTTTCTAAATACCGGTGATTACCTCGTAAATAAACAAAAAAATACAACCTCCACCTTTATGTAGATAATTTCAAAAATTGCATGCTGTATGCATGCATCTTGTTTAAATATAACTTACAAATAGAAATTTTGAGGAGATGTCCATCGTCTGTACAGGCCTTTATAAATTTAGTGTGAAAGTAATAGTGCTCTTACTTGGGAGAGCGATCCGAGACATGAAGTAAGTGACACTTTTGGTTTACAAATTGCAATGTATATGATTGTCATTACATTTAAAATTTTTTTACAGCCTTTATTACTTACTGTGCATATGTTAGTGATGATATTCTACTTGTACACACATCTTTTTTTTTATACAGCTTAGAATGGCAAACAAGCTGACGGCCCACCTGATGGAAAGTGGTAACCGTCGCCTATAGACATGAGCAGTACCATGGACATAACAGAGTATACTGTTTCGCCCATGGTACCCCCCATGCGTTGCGATTCCAGAGGACTCGGGTGTTATTCCTCTGTACTCAGTAAATTCACGCCATATCCCACCCTTCAAACCGAAACACAGCCATGCAAACACAACTGCTTCACGGTTGAAAGACGAATGGGACAGAGGTACCCAAGCAATCGACTTTTGTACAAAGTCTTAAATTATGTTTTTACTTTGCTGACAAAAAGTATGAAAATAAAACAATTTTTTCAACACAGGGGGCAAACGAGCATATGGCTCATCTGATGGTAAATGATTACTGCCGCCCATGATCACCCACAACACCAACGGCATTGCAGGTTTGCTACCTGCCTTTTAAAGAGGAATATGCTTTTTTATTAAAGGTTATGATGTCATATTGGTTCGGAAATACTTCTGCTGGAAGTTAATTCTAAAGATTGGTTGTGCGTGGAAGAAAGAGCCTTTCAAAACGTACGGTGAAGACCGCCACTCGTCCAGATCGTTGGGATGAAATTTTAGTTTATAACGGGTTGTACGGTAACGAAAAATGGTTACTTTTCGGTAATTATAATAATGGTATATTTTTATAGTATGAATAAATAGGTTTTATATTTAGATTAGTTATGTACAGATTGTATATTTTATATAAATCATACTTTATAAACCAGATTTGTGGAGGTATACAGAGGTATGTATTCTCATGGGAACATTAATTTATTACATTGTAATAAGAATCGCTTCTCTTGCATTCTTAGCCTTTAGAGTCACAGTAATAAAATTATATATATCTTTTTACTCTTTAATCTATGTTTTTATCACAATAACGCATTTGTTAAATTAAAATATTAATTTAATTTATACATCATTATATCAGCCATTATCTGTCGACTGCTGAAGATAGGCCTACCTCATAAATTGGGGAGTTTTGCTAATTGTTGCCGCAGTGAGGCTTTAGTGATGTTTTGAGAGAAATGCTGCTGCCCATTCCACGACCATTAAGTTCTCTTAGGTGCCTCTTAATATAACCATGGGAAAGGAAGGAGTGGCCCATTCTATGCTGGGATCACACGACGATTAATTTATACGTAATAAACGTAATAATATAATGACTTAATAAAAGTAAGTAAAAGTTAATTATAAGTAAAAAACAAATACCTACTATTCATTATAAAAGACAATTCATTGAAATTTGTGTAATGTTTACAAAAATATGTTTTGTATTGTTTTTGAAAATAGGTATTGTATTATGAAAATAATACGGCTTATGTTATTTGGTACACTTACATAAATAATTAAGAATAAACACATAGTGATCTCATCCGGATAGTAAACAAAAGTAAAAAAATAAGATATCCAGATACTTAATAATTTTAAATATAAAAATAAATTGTTAACGTTCAAAGTAATCCAATAAATTTCGGAGAATTTAATTAAAGATTTGCCACGGCTGAGATGGATATTAAATATTTTTATTGGCTCTTTTAAGTTTGGTGCCTTCTAAATTCGCCAGGAAGTATCTTCATTTACATATTGGATAGGGTCTGATGCTATCAACTGTGCTATTAAATAACAACAATTTGTATGTTAAATACTCATTGTTGCTTATAAAAAAGTATATTGCCAATTTTTGTTGAAATACCGGTCCCATAGAGATTGTAAATCATTTCCACTTGATGGGAGTTTTAAATCAAGTTCTAGTTGTAGGTACATAAAGAGAGCGTTAATTTTTATGATTAAAGATTCTATTTCTAAAGCATTTTATTAACCAACTATTTTGTTATAAATAATATTTTAGTAAATTCAAATATTTCGATTTAAATTACATATATATATATATATATATATATATATATATATATATATATATATATATATATATATATATATATATATATATATATATATATATATATATATATATATATATATATATATATGTTATTATAATATATATATATATATATATATATATGCTACTATTTCATTATAACATAGGTTATATGTTATAATGAAATAGTAGCAACATTAATATTTATGTACTCGTACATATGGTTTTTAAATGTATCTACTAAATATGTATATAGGCATTTCATTTTGTATAAGATTATAATATAAAATATAGGAATAGGATTTCTGTTTCAGTTAAGTAAATACAAAAATTAAAAAAAAAATTGCATCTGGGTGGTCTATATCATTTTCATGCATTTTCGTAGAAGTGAATATCCTATTTAATCTTATTAAAGTAGTAATATACTCGTATGTCAAGCATTGTTCGGTGCCTACAATTTAATTATTATTGATCCCGTATTTGCGAAGCAGGTATATCTAAGATAAGTAAGTAAAATTAAGTAAAAAAGTAAAGTGTAACTTAAGTATAACAATGTCCAACGGTGTTTTTTTATACTCTTAAAATATAAAAAAATATGCTCGTAAGTTGAGTAGATAATGTGAAGAGTTCTTATGTTGTTAAATTTTCAGGAAACTTATTTTTTAAAAATAAGATGCTAACAATGTGTGGTATCACCGGGATAGCTGGTATCTGGTCGCAAGTGACCGGCGACGGTCGATCCATTTCTGCCTGCTTGCCCTCTGAGTACGCCACAATAGTTCTCATGGTAGAAACACCATATCCAGCTGGTTCTCGTCGTCCACCCCAGTGCACCCCCGAATGCCATTCATTGACACTGGCGATCCAGCTCACACAGAAAATCATAACCCCCGCCAGCAAGAACTTTATCACCCGAATAAACTTTCTCGCGTTGCACGGCATCATAAAAAAAAAATCAAGCCATCTGGGATTTAGATGTTTCTAATGTTGCACACGCCAGCGACGTCGCACGCGTCGTGTTAGCGCCGCGCGCATGCGTACCGGTCGCGCTACCATGGCGGACTGCGGTGAATCAGCTGATAGCGTATCAACAATGCGTCCCTTGCGGACTACAGGCTAATCGTTCTAAACTCTACGGACGTGGAAATCTAGTTTCCTATACCAGTTTTTGCTTGAAATTCTCGTAGACGCCAACGCACTTCTAACAACGTTACGTTCTCTATAAAAAGTGCAAAATGCTGAGGGTATCATATTTATTATATTATTCTTTATTCCATTCTAGCTGTGTCCCACAGCTTTGCTTACTTAAATAAATCATATTTATTCTATGTTCGTCAAGTTTAACTCTGTTAAACGTTTAAATATAATTTAGCAATAAAAATCTAAATATATTTACTGACTTTGCATTTACCATATTAGTAGAAATATAGTAAGTATGTGCATGCCCTTCGAGTGTAAGAAAGTTTGTGACAGAACTATGCAGTATATAAAAGATTCATAAAACAATTTGGCTATTCCTAATTCCGTATATACATTGACTATATATAAATATGCTAGTGACCTATATGTAATTATGATGTTATTGTACGTAGGTAACAAATTATTTGTAATATATATCTTTTTTATGCAACTTAGAACGGCAAACAAGCTGACGGCCCACGTGATGGAAAGTGGTAATCGTCGCCTATAGACATGAGTAGTAACCATGGACATAACAGAATATACTGTTTCGTCTATGATACCCCCCATGCGTTGCCATTCCTGAGGGCTCATGTATTATTCCCCTGTACTTTGTTAATACACTGCCATATCCCGCCCTTCAAACTGAAACAGTCATGCAAACATAACTGCTTCACAGTAGAAACACGAATGGGACAGAGGTGCCCAAGCAAATGACTTTTGTACAAAGTCATGAATAGTAAGTATGGATATAATGACGGTATCGCCCATGATACTCTTTATGCGTTGCGTTTCTGACCCTATGTAGTAAAGCCTCTATACCTTGTAATTTCATTGCTATGTTTCACCCTACAAATCGAAATATAACTATGCAAAGAATTACTTCATGGCAGAAACACGAAGGAAATGGAGGTACCCAAGCAGGTAACTTATTTTATAAAGTCACCTTTTAGTATATCTAAATGACGGTAAAACTCGTCTTAAAATTTGTTGTATGGTTTATAAGAAATACGAATAGACGCTGACTGCAATGCCGTTATACTATTTAAAGATTCATAGTCTCATCATTGTATTCTATCAAGTTTTAATTCACCAGACTGATGGATTTTGCATTGTGGTCAGTTCCAGACGATATAGTCATTAATCCGAGTGACCGCACACAATATTGCTTAATTTTATTAATTCACAAGGGTTATTTCTTTATTTTAAAACCAATCGTCTAATTACGTTTAAATTACAAATAAAAGTATCAAATAATTGTAAGGTACAACAATATAAAGTTCAATCCCCTTTGTTCCGCAATAAATTTAATTAAGAATTACGATTAGATAAACCTAAATGTTATTATTTTAAAAAAGGAAAGTATTTTTTTACGGAATGAAGTGAGGTAGGTACGGCTAATTTACTGTTTTGTAATTTTAATTCGAATGATGCAAAATCGTATGGTCATAATCAGCATTCGGGAAACTTAAAAACGTCAAAAATTAAAACTATTGCATGTTGTCAGTGATGGATTACGGTATTGAAGTTTCGAAGATAGACACGATATTATCCTTTCCGAAATCGCTTTAAAATATTGTAAATAAATAAACTTTCCGTCCGATTCTTCCTGCGTGAATTATTAACGGCAAAAGAAAAATATCACCCGATGATTATTTAAACGACAAGAGTCGTCGCTCGCTCGTAAATTACTTAAGACAATTTAATAAACACATCAAGTCTTAAACGCTTTTTCAATGGCTTCGTACTACGTGAGCAAGTATTAATTTGACATTGTGTAGCTTCTGAACGATCATAATTGCAGATGGTTGCTATTTAGCTATGTGATTATGTTTTCTTAAGAACTTAAGTTTGCTATCATTTATTATACAGTAGATAAACATTTTTCATCGATGTTTTGTCTTCGACTATTAAGTAAACATAATTGCGGAATTCCGCACGTTTTTTTTTTGATATTATATCTTATGTATAATAAAATGAATGGCTGGAGAGGTATTACTATTAAAACTTATAAGATCAGTAAAAAAATACGATTTAGGCGTTTTATATTCTTAATTAATTTTGTTATTTTTGTTTGTTAATCTTATTGTTTGTATGTATGTATGTTTATATCTATTTGTTTTTATCTTTTTCAATGGTGGTTATAATAACATATCAGAAATATTGCTTTTTTTCTGAACTATTAAAACATATGTTTATTTATATATAATATTTGTTATTATGGTTTCCTTGTGAATTGTGTTTGGTTTTATTACTGTAATCAGAATAAAAATTCAATCTGTAAGATTGCAATTACTTTTGATTAATTTTATATAAAATTACTTTAAAACTCATCCGAGTTTTTATAGTGTGCAGCTTTTTATTACATGATTATACATGAATTATTTGTAAAGCTATATACAATAATTGTTAATTTAATATCCATATTTTATATTTGATAAAGTTTTAATATTCTTCATATTTAATTTTTTTTAAAAAGTTTATTCTTTTGCTTCACTTATAGACTGAGATTAAATTTCAATTTAGTCTCCGAGAGTTTTTTTTTTAATTTAAAGTTTACAATGTTAAAAGTAATATAAATATAAAGTAATAATTCTATGTAAAGTAGTATTTTTTATGCAACTTAGTATAGCAAACAAGCTGACGTTCCACCTGTTGGAATGTAGTAACCGTCGTCTATAGACATGAGCAGTACCATGGACATAAGAGAGTATACTGTTTTGCTTATGATACTCTCCATGCGTTGCCATTCCTGAGGGCTCATGTGTTATTCCCCTGTACTTTGTAAATACACTGCCATATCCCACCCTTCAAAGTGAAACACAGCCATGCAAACATAATTGCTTCACAGTAGAAACACGAATGGGACAGAGGTGCCCAAGTAAACGAGTTTTGTACAAAGTCTTCATCTGGTTAGACATTATGATTATTATTATCAACTATTTTCTTTATAATAATTATACTATAAAAAAAGTAATAATACTATAATAATACATAATGTAACGAACTTGAACATTAATATATTAATATTGATGTTTAAATGTTTAGCAAATATGAATGAAAGTTACATCCTATAGTTAATAATTATTTTTATATTTATTAACAAATAACTTCAACAACAATTATAAAAAAAAAAAGCCAGTTCTCCTGTATTTGATTTAGTAAAGAACGCAGATTTACGTCACGAACGCTTTTAAGCGAAGCATAAAATTGTTTCCCGTGGTTTGATTAAGGACGACGGGTTCCCACACCTTGCTGCCAATCGGCTTGTGTAAAAAGCTAATTGTCCATTTTGTGGTTTCCTCTCAGACAGTCAATAGATACCTACTGCAATAACAATAATAAGATGGAATTAAAATTACCTATATACAACTGCTGTTTTATATTTTAGAGATATTTATTAGTTAAGTAAATGTAGGTAGCTCACATTTTTGGTAGTTTGAAATAGGATAAAAATATATGCTTACTAATATTATAAATTGGGGGAAAGAGATTGTTAGTAATGGACTCTAGCAGTATCATTACTAGCAATATACTCCATCAGGTCGACCTCCATGTCCCTCTTTTCATTTTCACTTATCATCTCACACTGGTGTCCAGTTAGTGTACCTATACCGATAGTGTCGGCGGGTTCTCATTCTATTTTTATTTCTAAAAAATATATAAATGTGGAAGTCAGTTTGATAATTACATAATTACGCTTTATCGGATCAACCGATCGTCATTACATTTGCTATCATATAGTATTTGGACTGAAGAAAGAAATATGTTATTTTAACAGTCAACATAGGATTTGTAGATCGATGAATGAAGACTAAGACTAAGTAACTAAGACGCAAAACTAATCATTATCATAATCATCATTATATCATACATAAACATATTCACTGAACATAGGCCTTCCCCATAAGAGGGGTTTTGCCACTAGTTGCAACGCTTGGCAGTCTGGTTGGCAACCGTAATTAGGTTTTGGTGATGTTTTAAGAGAGACGCTGCTGCCAATCTCTCAACCATTAAGTTTTCTTAGTCGCTTTTTACAATATCCACGGGAAAGGAAGTAGTGACCCATTCTATGCTGGGACCACACAGCATAGAAATAAATAAAAACTATTGTACTATTTAATTCAAACTCGCTCTTTTCTTTGCATACTTTCGTATTTATAATACGAGTAGGGTATTTAATATTAGGGATCGTCAAAACGCTTATTAGATGACTCCAGTGAATCGTGAATCGTGCAGACTATTGCCCCAATAGTTTGGACGATGTTCTATGTAAAATGAGCCTCCGATCGCAGGAAAAGAACTTTTAACATTGTCTCGGGTCTAGGTGTGTTCGGTGTTCACTTTTTAGTAAAACACGGTATTTCGCAGTTAAGGATTTGTTAAAAAAAACTCATGACCATAATTCCTAAAGGGTTAATCAGAAGGATTGCTGGATTGTTTTCATTTTTATAAACATAACACTCAACATTTTAAAGAATTATTTATTTGGCGCATACTAATAACAATTAAAACAAAAATATAAATAATTATAAACAATAATTATATTTATTTATTACCTGTTGTATACATATTTCTGGTATTAGTGGTACTTTTTTATAAGTACGTGTATATTTTCTCATCTTAATAAAGATGATGGGACTAATATGAATGCGATGGGATGAATGAAATATAGATAATGTAATCAAAACTTTTGTATTCATAATATTACAAATATTTTTTTAATATTAATTTGTTATATTTTTTAAGTACCTACATTTCTATGTGGACCTGATCGGTCGATTTAGGTTATATAAACTCCATTCACACATGAATGTAATTTTATTTGTACAGATGTTACTTTAGTAGAGCGTAATGGCGTTGGATATTGCGAAATTGTGTCATTTGTGAATACTACTAAATTGGAGTG